TCCAGCTGGACCAGGGTGGCTGAGACTCTGTTCAGCAGAGCAGGGAGGAATGCATAATTGAAGCCAGGCCTGCGTACACCACTCAAATCAAGGGACTTTAGGTGGCTGGTGCAGGGACATGAGGACAGGTATGTCAAGTCATGGTCCATAAGCGAGGAATGGCTTATGTGGAGGGTGTCCAAGGGGCCCTGCAAGCTCCTGAGCAGCTGGTACAGGTGGTTATCGAGGAAGCGAGCAGAGTGCAGGATGAGGGTTTGGAGCTGATCCAGACTGAGGAGCCGAGAGGTGAATTGTTGAAGTAGCTTCTGCACCTCGTCCTTATCTTCCTCCCCGGGGACGATGCAGTAGAGGGTGCATTCAGAGAGAATGAGTGTATGCAGGTGGATCATCTGGGCCAGGTAAGGAGCAAACCAGTTGAGTCTTTGCAGGTCCCAACTACCAAGCAATCTCACCTCCTGGACAGAGTCCAGCTGCACCATGTTGAGGATCTCCCCAAGAATGGAAAGATGGGCAACATTCCAAATAAACTTGATCTTCCTACAGCACAGGTGTGGCAGATCCTTCCTCTGCTTGACCCTTTCGATGAGGAAGGTGAGCAATTCATCTGGGATGTCTTCCTGAAGGCACAGGTCTGTGAGCACTGTCATCCCAGCCAAGGCTGGATGCTTCTCCACTGACCTGGATTTGTCTTCTTTGGGGATCTGAGTGTGGGGCTGGGTGGACTCTGCATCCTCTGATGGCGTCATAGAGGCAGTAGACTCGGCTCCAGCCCACACTTTCCAGAAGTTGGTCCCAGTGTTCACTTGTAAATCCAGCACTTTCAGTTTGCACCTCCTGTGCTTCCCCTTCTGGGAAAGCAGGATAGCAAGACCATCAAGTGCAGCCTTTAAGACGTCAGGGGGAGACGGACAATCTTCCATCAGAGCCCCCAGAGGGAGCTTGAGGAAGGGCCACACCCCAACCATGGCCTTAATTGTCTCTCTGTGTTCTCCGACAACAGCTGCCATGAACAAAGGAGGAAAAAGTTGTGTGGGCAGCCACTCCAGAGCGTCAATGGCTGCGGCCTCATCCTGCAGCACACTCTGGATGGCAAGGTCCAGGAGCCTGGGTGGGTTCCTGCTGCTCATGTTGACCAATCAGCTCCAAAGGGAGTCCTGACCTGTGAATGAAAAGAGGGGTCTGCTCAGAATTCTGGGAGAGCCACGCTGGTTGTGCCAGCACTTTAAAATCTGGAACCTGCCCCCCTTAGCTCCTCAGAGGGAAGCTTTCTGGCTATGACACTCCTGTGGTCAACTCACAGTGGTAGAGGCTGGCAAGATTTCAAACTGGATACTTTCTCAGACTGACATGGGTCCTGAAGTTGTCAACTCCAAATAGGCAGGGCCGATGGTGGGCAGTGACCTCAGCAGCTGGGGAGGTGCATAAATCAAAGATCAGTAGGAAATATGGTGGTTGCATATTGAATCCAACAATCTTTTGGCTTACTCTGCAGGAGAGACAAATTCAAGATGAATGACTGGCCATTCCTCAAATGAAAATTTTGAGATCTATATTGAACTATAATGTTCTCTGTTTAGGGATATTATCTATGGGAGGACAAGAAAGTCTTGTCAATACAGTGAACAGTCAAATTTGCTCACCAATCCAGTGCAGACAGAGCTGAAGAACCTTCCTTAGAATTTTTTAAGCTGAAGGAACTGAAGATAACCACAACTGCTAGAAGCAAAACAGAACAAGACAAAACAAAACCAGTTGAAAGGGTGAATTGCACAATTAAAAATCTATGGTTCACAATTTTGAAAGACGCTGTTTTTGTTAGGAGCATTTGTGTAATTCAAGATCCATAGAAATCCTATACCCTACAAGGAAGAAAACACTGTGCTCGCAAGCCACTACTGTAAAACAAACTACCACACAAATACTCGATGAAAAATGGAGGGACCACCAAATCAATATGAAAAGAACACACAGCGTGGGGTTTCCAAAAAGAAGGAGATGTTCAACCATGACAAGAAGTAGCATATGAAACAATGATATTAGGACAAGATCCTTTCCCTCTGTCCATCCATGGATCTGGTCTCCCATGGAGAGGCCCGTGTGTTCTCCCATCAATTTACACCAGCCCTCCAAAATCTGAGTCCTTCCCCCATTAACTACTCACAACCATTCAGGGAGTTTTCATGTTACCCCTAATTCAACTCACAGTTGCAGAGGCTGACCGGGCTCAGACTTCATTCAGTCTTGGCTCCTATCCTTGTTCAAGGAGATCCGGTGCCAGAGGAATCCAAGATGGCAGGTCGAACGGCAGGCTTCTTCCTCACGAATGTTGAGACTGACAACTTCCAGAGAAGCAGGAAAAATGCTGGCAAGATTCTGTCCCGAGTCCCCAAACCTTCAGGTCAGAGGAAGGGTCCAGGTCCAGAACAAAGCTGAAGAGCTTTTAGAAAGTCCTTTTAAAGGATAAGACCACACCCACAAGGAAGATATTCCTTGCCCCTCATTGGCTGTTCACAGTAGGCTCATCATGGGAGTGATGGCATTTCATGAAATCTCATCAAACAGGCTGACGCCATCACAACTGAATAACCCCTTAGAATCCAGACCCAGCCCCGTTGACACAAGCTCTCAGCCATTACTCCTTACCCATTGTGAGTGAGAGAACACAGAAATTGTGAGGAATTGTGTTGGCAGCTGAGAGTGGATTAAGCAAATGGTTACAGACATGGCTTTATCACTCCGGTTCTCATATATGCAATATAGTTTTGCCATTATAGATACTCATCTGTGTAGCGCATTTCCTAAAGAACAAACTGACTTCCACTATAGCTCCTCCAACTTATGAACAAACTTATGAAAAAGAGAAGTGCCTCTCCGGCTTCCTACGGACTGTCAATCTTTCCAGGGGTAGCTGGCCTCATGAAGTCACATAGATTGGCTGTTAGGTTTGAACCCGTGACTTGGTGGTGTGCTGACAAATGTTTGAAGGGCTGACCTCTGCATAAGGATCCAACACACTGTCTTAATTCTCAAATGCTCTTATGACAGAAGCATCACCAACCAGAAGTAATTGTCTTATCGTTTAGGTGGGTGAAACACAAATTCAGGGCATCAGCTGAAGGAGAAAGCTCCCGCCCTGTTGAGTGTGGGGCCAGTTCCTTCTATCCATGCAACATCTGAAGCCTTGACCTCTTTGAATCATCACGTGTGTGGGCATCAGCCTTACCCTGTTTCTGTCTTGTTTTCCTATTTTTCTTTTTTAATTCTTTTTATTTACTAGTTGTTGATTTTTTAATCATTTTATTGGGAGCTCATACAACTCTTATCACAATGCATAGATCCATCCATTGTGCCAAGAACATTTGTACATTTGTTGCCCTCAACATTCTAAAAAATCTTTGCTTTCTACTTGAGCCCTTGGTATGAGCTCCTCATTTCCCCCTCCTTTCCCCACCCTCCCTTCCTTACCAACCCTTGATAATTTATAAATTATTATTATTTTTTCATGTCTTGCAGTGCCTGATGTCTCCCTTCACCCACTTTTCCGTTGTCTGTCCCCCAGGGAAGGGGTTATATGTAGATCATTGTAAGTGGTTCCCCCTTTCTACCCCACCTTCCCCTTCCCCTCCTGGTATTGCTGCTTGCATTATTGGTCCTGAGGGGATTATGTGTCCTGGATTCCCTCTGTTTCCAGTTCTTATATGTACCAGTGTAGATCCTCTGGTCTAACCCAATTTGTAAAGTAGACTTGGGATCATGATAGTGGCAGGGAGGAAGCCTTAAGGAAAGTTGTATGTTTCATTTTTGCTACACTGCACCCTGCCAGGTTCGTCTCCTCCCGCGACCCCTCTGTACGGAGATGTCCAGCTTTCCACAGATGGACTTTAGGTCTTCACTCTGCACTCCCCCTCATCCACAAGGATATGATTTTTGTTAGCCTTACCCTGTTTGTAGGATGTCCAGAAACACACCCTGATCCAGGTGTCCTTTCCTGGTTGTAGTTAGGTACCTACTCTATGTTCAAGCTTCTCTCTCCTATTATTTATTATCTCATGAGAGGAAAAGTTCTTCAGCTACACCCCACCCACCCCCACCCAAAGAAACTCCCTTTATATTCATTGTCTCAGGATGGTGAAGGGATGAACTCTTTCAGACACACCTGCCTTGAGAGCACCTGACCTTCAGGTCTCCTGTCTCCATGTAGTTATATCCTGCTTCTCTGCTCCCTTCTCTCAAATTCCTGGGGAAAAGGAAGGATCAGGATGCACAGCTCAGGAAACTCTCCTCACATCAATCTGATAAAGATTGGGAAGGGATGAAGGATTTTCAATCCTCCCTGAATTCTTTTACTGTGGAGTGTCTTCATCCGGGATCCCATCAGAGCAGATCCATTCACGGAAGTCCCCATTCGATCATAAAAATGACAAAAACCAACCTCAGGGTCCTGTGTCCCTTCCCTTCAGTGCAACCTGTAGGTCGGATGAAAACTGGTACCTCGTTCCTTCATGGATCTTCATCACAGCCTCCCACACTTTCTGGTTCTTTTTTTGTTGTTGTTGATCTCATATCCTGTCACCCTTTTTATTTTTTTAACATTTTATTAGGGGCTCATACAACTGTTATCCCAATCCATACACACATCAATTGTGTAAAGCACATTTGTACATCGTTTCTCAAAACATTTTCTCTCCACTTAAACCCCCGACATTAGGTCCTCATTTTTCCCCTCCCTCTCCCTCCCCCCTCCCTTATGAGCCCTTGATAATTTATAAATGGGTATTTTGTCATATCTTGCCCTGTCCGACGTCTCCCTTCACCCACTTTTCCATTGTCTGTCCCCCAGGGAGGAGGTCACACACGGTTCCATGTAATCAGTTCCCTCTTTCCTACCCATTCTCCCTTTACCCTCCCTGTTTTGCCACTCACACCACTGGTCCTATAGGGCTCATCCATCCTGGATTCCCTGTATTTTCAGTTCCTATCTGTACCAGTGTACCTCCTCTGGTCTAGCCAGACTTGAAAGATTGAATTCGAGTCATGGTAGTGGGAGCGGGGAGGAAACATTTAGGAACTAGAGGAAAGTTGTATTTCTCATCATTGTTACATCGCACCCTGACTGGCTCATCTCCTCCCCGAGACCCCTCTGCAAGGGGATCCACTTTCTGGTTCTATATCATGCCCTTTACCAGGAAACCAGGAAACGTACTCACATCCTTCTGGTAATTGAAAATGAATGTGCTATAACCCATAATCCAGGATAAAGTCTAAAAAATCGAACTGCCATTGTTTATGACGAGTGAAAAGAACACACAGGACAGGGGAGACTGGCCCTGAGCATTTCCGTGACTGTGACTCTGTGTGGGAGTAGAAAGCCCCATCTTTCTCCAATATATAAAGTCTACTTGTCTGCTTTTGCCCCATGGGGTTCATTCCATTTTCTCCCAAGGGCAGTATCAGCTATGTGGGTAAGCAATGCTGTAGGTCTTTGATGTTACAGACTCTCACCGCTCTCCATTGTAGAAGGTAGTGCTTTTGAAGCCTCCAGCTATTGATTAATAAACCAAACAGCCCACTACCTGGGCTCAGCTCCTAAACTGACATCCTTACGTGCCCATTTCTGTTGGGTCGAGGGAACAGATCCCAAATCTGAATGCACATTTTTAATAGTCTGGCACCAGGAGGAGTAAATACCACAAGAGGATGGTTTTACATAGAGATGTTTATTTTATCTTAGGCAAGATGTGTTGGTGTACAGAAGCACAGGCATGGATGTGAAAGGTTGTCTGTTGATTGTCTTGTACTGGGATGAACTGGTCTCTTTTCAACATCTGTATGAATTCCTTGGAGGTTCCGTGAGTGTTGCCATCCACTTTCCTCTGAGTCGATAAAGTTCCCAGGGCAGGGATCTTGGGTTCCAGAGACATGCTTTGCTCCTCTCTGTTGTTTCCTGTCTGCTGGCCTCTCTTTTCATGTCTTGTAGAAGAGATGTGAAGCCATCAAGGAATGACTGGGGTAAGGCTGTGAATGTCAGATGCTTCCTGTAATCTTCAACTCCAAATGAGCACACTGTGATAGCAAAGATAACCTAATCCTCTGGAACCTAATGACAAATAATCTTATTAGCATAGTA